CTGAATTTATTCTCTTACCTTTGAACTTGGGCCTCCTCAGTAGTCAGAAAGCCTCCGCCGGGGCCTGCTGGCTGGGGTGGCAACGCTCCTCGGCCCCCTGGTCCTCCCTGCTCCCAGCAGCCACGCTGCCTCCTGTCCCCGCCCAGGGCTGCAGCAGGACCCGCAGGGCCCAGGGCCCCTTCGCTTGCAGATGCCCACACTAGGCTGTCACCTGTACTCTGACCAACTGGCTGTAACTGGCGTTCCCACACCCACGGGTTCAATAATTTCCTCGAATGGCTCACAGAGCTCAGGAAAACGTTTGCTCACCCCTGGGTCACCGTACAGGACACTGCGCAGGCCCAGCCGCATGGCAGCTGCGCGGGGCAGGGGTGGGGCTCGCAGGCTGCCTCCTCCCCGCACCGCTGCTCCCCGGCCTGCCTCTCAGGTCAGGTCCTGTGTTCCAAGGATTGTATGGAGGCTTCAGCACACAGGCCTAGCTGATGAACTCGATCCCAGTCCTCCCCTCTCCCCGGAGCACGGCTTCATCTTCCAGGGGACCCCTCCCATCCTGTCGCTCAGGAAATTCCAAGGGGTCCGGGCTGTGTCAGGACCTGGACTCAGAAACTAAATATCAGGACAAAAGATGCCCCTAGCACTTTGTCATTGAGAGTTAACACAGTTTCGTTTGCTTTTCCAAACCAAAGGAAGTTCTACAACGCGGTGGGTATCGATGGACGGATGTATTGATAAGTTGATTTTTTCGTTTTTTTAAAATTAATTTTAGAGAGAGGGGGAGACAAACATTGATTTGTTGTTCCACTTATGCATTCATTGGTTGACCCTTGTTTGTGCCCTGACCGGGGATCGAACCCGCAGCCTTGGCGAAACCGGACAACCTCTACCCAGCTGAGCTACCCGGCCCTCCCAGCAGCCATTTCTTGAGGGGACATTGCCAGGTGTGGGTTTAGCATGGCATCCGCCCTCCCTGGTGAGGCCGCGCTGTCCATCGGGATTGCGGCCGAGAACCCAGGCTCGGCCTGGAGCCAGGATCACTCACCAACCTTTCGACCCTCCAACCTTCCTTTTTGCTCAATTTCTCTGACGAGTGGCGTTGTGATTCCTCACTGTTGGGTACTTTATGGTGTTTGAAGACCTGCAGGGTCATTTAAGGTCCTCAGAGACTCTGAGGCCAGGACGGGCGTTGTTCCTACGTCCATCCTTCTGTGCTGCCCTCTGGGGTGGCCGGGGAGGCCCCGGGGTGGCCACATGGCTCGTGGCCAGGTGGTGGCGGACGAGGTCTGCCCAGCTGAACCCCCAAGGGGATGTCGGGGACGGTCCCTGCCAGTCCAGGCTGAAGGAGCAAGCCCTGGCGAGAAGGGCCAGGCTCCCAGGGCAGCGGAGGCGAGGCCTCGCCCTGACCCACACCGTCTGTGCTTCCCTCCCAGGCCTGGTGCTGAACAGAGACCGGAGGATCGCCTGGGTGAGTGCCGCCGCCCTCCCCCCTTCACGTGCCTGTCGGCCTCTCTTGTGGAGAAAAGTACATAGCACAGTATTTATCCTTTCCATCCATTTGTAAGTACACAGTTCAGTGGCATAAAACATATCCATGATGCCATGCAACCATCACCACCCCAACATTTCACATCGCCACAATAACCACGTACTCCCCCCACCCCAGCACCTGGCGACCGCGTTCTGTTCTCTGAATTTGACAGCTCTAGGGACCTCATGTAAGTGGAGTCATGCCGTGTGTGGCCTTGTGTGTCCGGCTTATTTCACTTAGAGAATGTCCTCCAGGTTCACCCGTGTTGTATCTTGTGTCAGAATGCATTCCTTTATGGCCAGAGAGCAGCCACTGCACGGCTACTCCGTTCATCCGTGAGGGACACGGGAACCTGTCTGTGGGAAGCACCCAAGGTTATCTTAGCCTGAAGAGTAGGAAATGGCTGGGAGGGGTCCAGGCAGAGCAGGCAGAGTTTGCAGGCTGTGGCCAGCGTGTGTTCATAGGAATCGTGTTTCACCGCCATGAACACAATGGCTTAGTCGGTCCTTCCAGGAGCCTTCGTGCATTAACCCACCGAGTACACCCTGATCCCCTCAGCTGCCCGCTGAGCTCGGACACAGGAGACCCAGTGCCCTCAGAGGGCTCAGACTAGAGCGCCCAGCCTGACCAAGTATGTGAGCCTCCTTAAGTTCACCTCCCCAGTAGCCATATTAAAAGAGTAAAGAGAAACAGGTGAAGTTACATTCAATACTTTTAACTCAGGGTATCCAAGATGTTGTCACTTCAGCATGTAATCAATATAGAACATTAAGGTCGTTGGCTTTCTTCTTATCAAGTCTTCAAAGTCCAGCATGCGGTTTACACGGCAGCGCATCCCAGTGTGGCCCAGCTCCCCTTCCCGCACCACAGTCCCCGGCGGCTGGGGGTGACTGTGGGGCAGCACAGGCCCAGCCATCGTAATGGTCAGACGGTGGTCAGGGCTGTCGGAGGCCAGCAGGGACTGTGGGCATCATCCTGTACTGTCTCATGGCAACTGTCCGAGCAGGCAGGTGGGCTGCGCTGGCAGAGCCCAGGGCCAGGCTGGCAGGGCAGCCTGTGGACCAGGAAAGGGAGTGGGAAGGGCCACACCTGAGACCTGAAATCTAGGCCCGGAAGTCGCCTGGACCCCTCTGCTTTCAGTCGCTCGGCCACGCCGGGCTGTCAGGGTCTGGGAAATACTGCCTGGATGGGCAGCCGCGAGCCCAGAAAGAGTTAGGGGGAAAGGGCCTCCGGCCTGTGGCAGTGAGAGGCCCATTGGGAGGGGGTGTGGTTGGGCCCAGGGCTCCGTCCTGGGGTAGGTGGGTGAGACAGGAATCGTGCCCGAGCGTCGTCCCATGCACTGAGGGGTCACTAGTTAGATTCCTGGTCAGGGCACACACCCAGGTCACAGAATTGATGCCTGGTCGGGGTGCGTATGGGAGGCAACCCATTAATGTTTCTCTCACACACTGATGTTTCTCTCTCAAATAAAATATATTTTTTAAAAATATATTTTTATTGATTTCAGAGAAGGGGGAGGGAGAGAGAGACAGAAACATCAATGATGAGAATCATTGATCGGCTGCCTCCTGCATACCCCACGCTGGGGATCAAGCCAGCAACCCGGGCTTGTGCCCTTGACCAGAATCAAACCAGGGACCCTTGTCCCCAGGCCGATGCTCTGCCCACTGAGCCAAACCGGCTAGCTAGGGCAATAAATATATTTTTAAAAAATGCCTGTCAGTGTGGTTCAATGGCTGAGCCCGGCCAGGAATCGAACCAGGTCAGTTTGATTCCCCGTCAGGGCGCATGCCTGGGTTGCTGGCTCAGACAGTCCCCAGTCGGGGTCATGAGGGAGGCGGCTGATCAAGGATCCTTTCATCATTGATGTTTCTCTCTCTCCCTTCCTCTCTGAAATCAATAAAAAAATATTTTAAAAAAGAAAACAGATCCTCGGGTGAGGATGAGAAATGATTCACTGTGGCTCTTGCCTCTGCAGCCAGAGCACACCTTCGATTTCATCAGCAAGGAGCTGTGCGCACACGCCGTCAAGAAGCTGCAGGCCCACATGCTGCTCATCAAGTAAGTCTGAGCCCAGCAGCCGCCGTGAGCACCAGGGACCTGCAGGCCTCCCAGGCGCGAGGCCACAGCCCTCCCACTGCCACTCGCTTGGGAAGCCCTCGACGGCTGGTTGGGCAGCACACCTTTCAACAGGCGACTGGAGGGCACCCCACCCTGTAGCCACCTGGGCCCCTCCCTTTCTCCCCCAGGCCAGCACCTCGGGGTCTCACAGCAGTGAACACCTTTTACTGTGGCCTAGATGCCACTCCCCTCTTCCAGCCGCACTGCAGCCCTGCACAGTCCATGCCCAAGGCAGGATCTGTGACCTCCAGGGACACTTCTGTCTCTGGTGCCGAGCACAGGGTCTAGTGCAGGGGTGGGCAAACTTTTTGACTCGAGGACCACAATGGGTTCTTAAACTGGACCGGAGGGCCGGAACAAAAGCATGGATGGAGTGTTTGTGTGAACTAATATAAATTCAAAGTAAACATCATTACATAAAAGGGTACGGTCTTTTTTTTTTAGTTTTATTCATTTCAAACGGGCCGGATCCGGCCTGCAGGCCGTAGTTTGCCCACGGCTGGTCTAGAGAGTATGCACTTGAGACACGCACATCCAAACTGCTGCACACCCGCCAGGGTGGCTACTCTCACCTGAGCGCAGTGTGATTGGCGGATGGCCGGAGCCCCAGCCCTCAGAGCGATGGGACTGTCCAGTGGTGCAGCCACGGTGGCAAACAGTCTGCGTCTCTCAAGCAGCTACCACAGGGCCCCCTGGCTGGGCAGTCCCACTCCCAGGTGCCGGCCCGTCAGGCCCTCACTAGTGCACGATGGTCCAGAGCATTCCTCACAACCACCACAAGGTGGGGCAACCCGACGTCCGTCCACCACGGACTGTTTCCGTCCTAAAAAGGAAGCACTGACCCGTGCTCTGGGACGAACCCTGAAGCATTCAGCTCCGTGGAGGGAGCCAGCGCGGAGTCCACCATGGGACTCCCCTCCCATGCAAGCCCAGGGAGGGACTCTGCACAGACCGTCAGCTAGGCCTGCAGTTGTGTGTGGGAGAGGACACAGGTTTGGGATTTGTTTTTTGAGGTGATGAAAATGCTCTAAAATTGACTAGTGGTGGTTGCACAACTGAATATATTTAAAACCAAGGAATTATACACTTGAAATGGGTGAAATTATCTCAGTAAAGCTATTTTTTTTAAAATAAGAAATTCCAGCCAGTGTAGTTCAGTGGTTGAGCGTCAACCCATGTACCAATGTTTGCCAGTTCAATTCCTGGTCACAGCACATGCCTAGGGCTAGATCCGCAGTAGCAAGCATGCAAGAGGCAGCTAATTGATGTTTCTCTCTCTCAAAAAATCAATAAAAATACTTTTTTTAAAAAGGAAAGAAAAAGTACAGACTCAAACCGTTCACTGGCTCTACATTCACTGGCTGTGACCACGGGCAAACTGGGACTTCAAGTGTGGGTGGGTACTGAGTGGCCGAATCTTGAATTAAACGTGAACTCAAAGGGACCCAGCTGTGGACGAGGGGGAGGTAGCTCAGGCCAGGGTGCAGGGCACTGCTGGAGGCGGATCTGAGATGAACCCTGGTTTCTTGCTTTCCAGAGCAACCGGAGGATTTTTTGACGTGAGGAGAGAATATGATGCTGACAAGGGGCTCATACTGTTCATGACTGACCAGCTGAAATCTGCCCTAGGAGAGGTAGGTGTGGGGCTCAGGGTGGCTGGGGTATGGAGGGGCATCATGCCCTTCGGGGCTCCACCATGCTACCTCTTCTTTTTCAAAATATATTTTCATTGATTTCAGAGAGGAAGGGAGAGGGATAGAAGCATCAATGATGAGAATCATTGATTGGCTGCCTCCTGCACACCCCCCTACTGGGGATCAAGCCCGTAACCCGGGCATGTGCCCTTGACCAGAATCGAACTTGGGTCCCTTTAGTCCACAGGCCGGTGCTCTAACCACTGAGACTCCTGGTCTGGCTCAGCCCCAGGTCTACCAGGTGCCCCCGGAGCTACCAGGCCTCACTCCCAGCTGTGGGCAACGTAAACTGGCACAGAGCAGACTGTTCATTGGCAGACTCTCCCGACTTTATTGTCCTCACACCCGGGGGCCAGGCCCGACTCAGCCAGCGGCCATCCCAGTTTCCTAGGGTCCCACATGGGAACAGATGGCCAGTCCCCTCACTGGGTGCTGGGTGCAGGTGGGGGTGGGCCCCAAGCAGGAGGGCTGGGACTTGTGCTTGACTGTCCCTGGGAGCACCTGGCCCCGGAAACGGGAAGCCTGTGTGGCTGGGTGGCCATCGGCGGTGCCCTCCCGTCCTGTCCGGCGGCTCCCTCCCGGGTGGGTCGGACAGAGCAGCAGCACCGCCACTTGCTCTGCCCAGCCTACTTCCCCCAGCTCAGCGCTCAGCATGCCCAGGCCCCCAGGGCTGGCACACTTCCCTCCCAGAGGCCTTTCTCGTGAATTTACAGCCAGGCCTGAATCACCCAGGGACGCCATGAACCACCACAGGGAGGCAGCAGACCCCAGGAAAGCCCCACCAGAGGGGCCCCTGGAGCCACCACTCACCACCTGTCCCCTCCTTCCCCAGCGGTTCCAGTTTGTGGAAGTTTCAGGCAACCACTACGTCCACATGAACCAACCCGATCACGTGGCCAGTATCATTGGCTCCTTCTTACAGAGCAGGAACAGGATCCCAGCCCAGCTGTAGCCCTGGGCCCGGGGCCACTGAGACCTGTGCTCACCACTCACCACCGGACGCCCAGCTCCAGGGGCCCCAGCCAGGCCAGGCACGATGGGGCCAGGCCTCACTGGTCTTGAGCAGCAGGAGCTGGCAGAGCAGAGGTGTGGGGTGTGATTTCTATCTCCAACATTTGTGAGTTCACAGGGGAGATCGTGTCTGGATTCGGGGTCTGTGTTGTGGCTGGAAACCGGCAGTGAGCTGGGAGTGCAGGAAGACTGGATAGGCCACCCGGCCTGCAGCCAGCAGCTCTTGCGCCTTTCCTGTGCCCGCCTGGATGAATAAATTGTTCTTTTCTCTCTCACTGCCTTCGAGGCTTTCACGGCTGCGGGGGCTTGGCCACTGAGGGTAAGGGGAGAACATGGCAGACACTTAGCTTTTAGCGGAAGATCCAGACAGACTGGGAGGAGACAGGAGCAGCAGGAACCACTTCCTGGGCCGGTGGCTCCTGAGAGCCAAGTCCTCATGCTGGGCAGGCTCACCAGCTCCGGGCTCCGGGCTGCTTAAGACAAGGGCTGAGGGTGGCACTGTCCTTTACCCGCCGCCTGTGGGCTGATTCTTGGTGCTGTTTGACGTGGCAGCTCCCAGGCCTGGGCAGTCTGGGAGCATCCAGGCCTTTGTGTCCTCGCTGGCCATCCCCACCACCCTGTCCGTGCGGCTCAGTAGGGACGGAATTTGCGCTGGGCCCGCATCAGCTCAATCCTCTGCTTGTCCTCCTCGAACTTCTTGCGCAGCTGCGCTAGATCTGGGGCGTGAGGGGAAGGGGGAACGGCCAGGATCAGACAATGTGCCCGTGGGAGCTGCGCCCCATTGCCCCCATGAGTCTGCCTGGCCACACCCCCTCTCCGCAGCAGCCTCTGCACCACAGCCAGCACCTGAGGCCACACACACACACACACTCCTGCAGTCTGGCCCCAGCACAACTGCTCAGGGGTCTGGCTGTGGGTCCTACATCCCAGGTGCCTCTACAGCCCTAAGTAACCCAGAGGACCCCACAGCGACCTCTAGGGAGCAACAGTGGAACCAGCACACAGGTGCCGACAGGCTGGGATCCCAAACCCAAAGCCTGTTGGGAAGTCTGGGCCTAAGGACACCCTGGCCCAGAACCCAGGTCCAGCGCCTGCCTCTGGGGTTCTGTGCTTTGGCCACAGGCCCTGCCCAGGCAGCTGGGGCTCAAGGCTAGGGGGGCTGGCCGACGGGCCGGGGCGCGCCCTTACGCTCCATCTTGGTCTCCCGGTGCTGCCAGGCGTAGAAGTTGAGCAGCTCCTTGCGGGCGCGCTTCCGCTTCTCCCTCTCCAGCACCCGCAGGCTGGCTGCCTCCGTCCGGGGCAGCACAGGCCGCCGGCCACGGCGCGTCACCTTCACCCAGCCCTCCTCGTCCGGGACCCCTTCCTCCTCCTTGGCCTTCGCTTCCTCCTGCAAGGACATGACCCTGTGATGGCGCCAGGGACCCGCCTGCAGCCTTGGGAGCCTGCTGGGAAGAACCTGGGCACCCAGGGGCACCTGCTGCCCACTCCGCCCCCAGCAGTGAAGGTGCCTCCTCCAGCCTCGGACCGTTCCTCCTCTACAGACCTAGTGACTAGACGCCACCAGCTCAGGTGACCGGGACTCAGCAGGGAAAGGGGTGTCTAGACTCTGCATGGTGACCAGGTCAGCTGCCTCCCCCGCCCCCTCAGGAGCCACCCCACACCCGTGGCACCGCCTTCCCCACAGTGACAGTGATGTGCGGCCCCCCGCGAAGCCCTACCTCGGCCATCTTCCTGTCGTACGCCTCCATGAATGTGTCCACTTCCACTCGCAGGGCCTCCGGGTCCAGCACGGAGTCTGTGTAGTCACTGATCCACTCTGAGGGAGGGAGGGAGGGAGCGAGGGACACAGGCCTCCTCAGGTGACGTGCGGGCCACCCCAGGACCCGCCGGGCCAGCTGGCTTATCGAACACGGGCCACAGGCATGGAGACTGGCCAGGGTTCGGTAAGGAAGGTTCTAGTGGTGGCAAGCTGGGCCCCACCTGTGCCCTCCAGTGCCAGGCTCAGGTCTCCCACACGCTGCTCTCAGGGCAAGTGAACACGGTGATGCTGCCCCCACAAGGACCCCCACCCACTCACCCAGGGCCCGGGAAGGACCCCCCCCCCCCCCGCCTCCCGGCAGCCCTGCCTGTGAACACCGCTCTTCACGGGGTGACTCTCTGTCGAGACCAGCAAAGGGCCCTTCAGGGCTAAGGCAGCCGACACCCCTTTCGGCTTCTGGAACACCACGTAGGCCACCTGGAAGCCCTGGAGGGAGGGAGATGTCACAGCGCTGGGCCCTTCCCGTTCTCCCAGCCACTCACGCCCGGCACCAGGGGTGCCCCTGCCCGCAGCCTGACTTGTCACTGGACCAGCGGAGATGTGCAGGGCTGTCCCTGAACATGAACATAACCAGGAGGTTGTCCCTAATCCACAGGCAGGATGGCTGTGTGCCAGTTACCCACCTGAGCCCCTGGTTACCCACTGTGCCCCTAGTTACCCACCTGAGCTCCTAGTTACCCCCTGAGCCCCTAGTTACCCACTGTGCTCCTAGTTACCCACTGAGCCCCTAGTTCCCCACTGAGCCCCTAGTTACCCACTGTGCTCCTAGTTACCCACTGAGCCCCTAGTTCCCCACTGAGCCCCTAGTTACCCACTGTGCTCCTAGTTACCCACTGAGCCCCTAGTTCCCCACTGAGCCCCTAGTTACCCACTGTGCTCCTAGTTACCCACTGAGCCCCTAGTTCCCCACTGAGCCCCTAGTTACCCACTGTGCTCCTAGTTACCCACTGAGCCCCTAGTTCCCCACTGAGCCCCTAGTTACCCACTGTGCTCCTAGTTACCCACTGAGCCCCTAGTTCCCCACTGAGCCCCTAGTTACCCACTGTGCTCCTAGTTACCCACTGAGCCCCTAGTTCCCCACTGAGCCCCTAGTTACCCACTGTGCTCCTAGTTACCCACTGAGCCCCTAGTTCCCCACTGAGCCCCTAGTTACCCACTGTGCTCCTAGTTACCCACTGAGCCCCTAGTTCCCCACTGAGCCCCTAGTTACCCACTGTGCTCCTAGTTACCCACTGAGCCCCTAGTTCCCCACTGAGCCCCTAGTTACCCACTGTGCTCCTAGTTACCCACTGAGCCCCTAGTTCCCCACTGAGCCCCTAGTTACCCACTGTGCTCCTAGTTACCCACTGAGCCCCTAGTTCCCCACTGAGCCCCTAGTTACCCACTGTGCTCCTAGTTACCCACTGAGCCCCTAGTTCCCCACTGAGCCCCTAGTTACCCACTGTGCTCCTAGTTACCCACTGAGCCCCTAGTTCCCCACTGAGCCCCTAGTTACCCACTGTGCTCCTAGTTACCCACTGAGCCCCTAGTTCCCCACTGAGCCCCTAGTTACCCACTGTGCTCCTAGTTACCCACTGAGCCCCTAGTTCCCCACTGAGCCCCTAGTTACCCACTGTGCTCCTAGTTACCCACTGAGCCCCTAGTTCCCCACTGAGCCCCTAGTTACCCACTGTGCTCCTAGTTACCCACTGAGCCCCTAGTTCCCCACTGAGCCCCTAGTTACCCACTGTGCTCCTAGTTACCCACTGAGCCCCTAGTTCCCCACTGAGCCCCTAGTTACCCACTGTGCTCCTAGTTACCCACTGAGCCCCTAGTTCCCCACTGAGCCCCTAGTTACCCACTGTGCTCCTAGTTACCCACTGAGCCCCTAGTTCCCCACTGAGCCCCTAGTTACCCACTGTGCTCCTAGTTACCCACTGAGCCCCTAGTTCCCCACTGAGCCCCTAGTTACCCACTGTGCTCCTAGTTACCCACTGAGCCCCTAGTTCCCCACTGAGCCCCTAGTTACCCACTGTGCTCCTAGTTACCCACTGAGCCCCTAGTTCCCCACTGAGCCCCTAGTTACCCACTGTGCTCCTAGTTACCCACTGAGCCCCTAGTTCCCCACTGAGCCCCTAGTTACCCACTGTGCTCCTAGTTACCCACTGAGCCCCTAGTTCCCCACTGAGCCCCTAGTTACCCACTGTGCTCCTAGTTACCCACTGAGCCCCTAGTTCCCCACTGAGCCCCTAGTTACCCACTGTGCTCCTAGTTACCCACTGAGCCCCTAGTTCCCCACTGAGCCCCTAGTTACCCACTGTGCTCCTAGTTACCCACTGAGCCCCTAGTTCCCCACTGAGCCCCTAGTTACCCACTGTGCTCCTAGTTACCCACTGAGCCCCTAGTTCCCCACTGAGCCCCTAGTTACCCACTGTGCTCCTAGTTACCCACTGAGCCCCTAGTTCCCCACTGAGCCCCTAGTTACCCACTGTGCTCCTAGTTACCCACTGAGCCCCTAGTTCCCCACTGAGCCCCTAGTTACCCACTGTGCTCCTAGTTACCCACTGAGCCCCTAGTTCCCCACTGAGCCCCTAGTTACCCACTGTGCTCCTAGTTACCCACTGAGCCCCTAGTTCCCCACTGAGCCCCTAGTTACCCACTGTGCTCCTAGTTACCCACTGAGCCCCTAGTTCCCCACTGAGCCCCTAGTTACCCACTGTGCTCCTAGTTACCCACTGAGCCCCTAGTTCCCCACTGAGCCCCTAGTTACCCACTGTGCTCCTAGTTACCCACTGAGCCCCTAGTTCCCCACTGAGCCCCTAGTTACCCACTGTGCTCCTAGTTACCCACTGAGCCCCTAGTTCCCCACTGAGCCCCTAGTTACCCACTGTGCTCCTAGTTACCCACTGAGCCCCTAGTTCCCCACTGAGCCCCTAGTTACCCACTGTGCTCCTAGTTACCCACTGAGCCCCTAGTTCCCCACTGAGCCCCTAGTTACCCACTGTGCTCCTAGTTACCCACTGAGCCCCTAGTTCCCCACTGAGCCCCTAGTTACCCACTGTGCTCCTAGTTACCCACTGAGCCCCTAGTTCCCCACTGAGCCCCTAGTTACCCACTGTGCTCCTAGTTACCCACTGAGCCCCTAGTTCCCCACTGAGCCCCTAGTTACCCACTGTGCCCCTAGTTACCCACCTGAGCCCCTAGTTACCCAACTATGCTCCTGGTTACCCACCTGTGCCCCTGGTTACACACCTGAGCTCCTAGTTACCCACTGAGCCCCTAGTTACCCACTGTGCCCCTAGTTACCCACTGAGCCCCTAAGTTACCCAACTATGCTCCTGGTTACCCACCTGTGCCCCTGGTTACACACCTGAGCTCCTAGTTACCCACTGAGCCCCTAGTTACCCACTGTGCCCCTGGTTACCCACCTGAGCCCCTGGTTACCCACTTGAGCTCCTAGTTACCCACTGTGCCCCTAGTTACCCACTGAGCCCCTAGTTACCCACCTGTGCCCCTAGTTACCCACCTGAGCCCCTAGTTAACCAACTATGCTCCTGGTTACCCGCCTGTGCCCCTGGTTACCCAACTGAGCCCCTAGTTAACCAACTATGCTCCTGGTTACCCACCTGAGCCCCTGGTTACCCAACTGAGCCCCTGGTTACCCACTATGCCCCTGGTTACCCACCTGAGCCCCTAGTTACCCACCTGAGCCCCTAGTTAACCAACTATGCTCCTGGTTACCCCCTGGTTACCCACCTGAGCCCCTGGTTACCCACCTGAGCCCCTGGTTACCCACCTGAGCCCCTGGTTACCCACCTGAGCCCCTGGTTACCCACCTGAGCCCCTGGTTACCCACCTGAGCCCCTGGTTACCCACCTGAGCCCCTGGTTACCCACCTGAGCCCCTGGTTACCCACCTGAGCCCCTGGTTACCCACCTGAGCCCCTGGTTACCCACCTGAGCCCCTGGTTACCCACCTGAGCCCCTGGTTACCCACCTGAGCCCCTGGTTACCCACCTGAGCCCCTGGTTACCCACCTGAGCCCCTTGTTATCCACCTGAGCCCCTAGTTACCCACCTGAGCCCTTGGTTACCCACCTGAACCCCTAGTTACCCACCTGAGCCCCTGGTTACCCACCTGAGCCCCTAGTTACCCACTGTGCCCATTCCCACCAGGCCTTTCTTCCGTTATGGGAGGGACTCAGGGAACAGTGTGCTGACCCCTGGCCAGGAATGGACGGACACACAGGGCGCAGACTAGTTCCAATTCCACTGCAGCAGGAAGCGTGGGCTCCAGGCCACAGGGAATGACAGTGAGGCTCAGGGGAGCCCTCTGGTGTGGGGGGGGGACCCTGAGCTTTCAGGACACTGGAGAGAGGCGGCAGGAAGCTAAAGGTAGTGGCAAGTCTGGGGTAAGGAGTGGAGCGGTTTACCTGCCAGCCCTCCTGGACCACATGTCTGGCCTAGAGCCATAGGGCAAGCCCTGAAAGTCCCTCTGCCACCCAGCATCACCGTCCCCTCACGGGGACCCTGCCCTAGCCCCCATGCCCCATGCTGGCAGATCCCAGGAATGGAGGCTTACCGCAACAGGCTTGGGGTGAAAAAACTTCGACTTCGGCTCCTTGGGGCTCTCGGTGAGCTCGGGCTTCCCCTGCAGTTCCACGGACTGGACGGGGCCACAGGGGGAGAGGAGGCGGGCCAGGCACTCCTGCCGAGGCGGAGGGAGCAGTGTGAGGGCTGCAGGCCCTTCCAGGAGCCTCCCTCCGCCCCTGGAGATCCGAGATCCCACGTCTGTGCCCCAACCGGGGACACGCAGGGAGGGCCTGGGCAAGCCACGGCCTCAGCACAGGTTCCAATCCTCTCCTCCCAGCACCCGGAACAGAACCTTGTCAATTTACACGTTAAAAAAGGGGTAAGAAGCCACCCCTCCACTGGCAGGGCCTCAGGAGGTGGGGGAGACGGAATTCAGGCGTAAGCTTTCTGGCTTTGTGACAGGATCCTGCGGGAGCACATGCCCAGAACGCACTGGCTTTCTCACCAAAGTGAAGGGATTTCTCATTGGAAAGTACATCTTGCTGAAAGATCAGTCTTTCCTATCAATTTCTCCAGGTAATGATACCGAAAGAGGGATTAGGTTCTAAATTTCTTTTTAAAATTACTAGCCAACTGGCCAAGTAGCTCAGTTGGTTAGAGCATTGTCCCAATCTGCCAAGGTTGCAGGTTCGATCCTGGGTCAGGGCACATCAAGAATCAACTCCCTTTCCCTCTCTCTAAAATCTATAAACAAATGTTTTAAATGTAAAAAGAAAAAAAAATTATTGCAAGAATAGGTGGGGACATTTTTGGTGTTATTCCTAGTATTCTGATTTTATGAGCCAACCAAGTAAGTTTTACCACCTGAATCCACCTTATAAAAACAGAGTGAAACCTGTGCTGCTGGAATCAGGCTGGTAAGCCTGGGGGGCGGGGAGCGGGGGACGAGGGATCTCTGGGTGCGGGTGATGCTGCTTCTCAGTTTGTGAAATGCTGTGGGCTGCACACTTCTGGCCAGGCCTTCAGTAAAGGCTAAAAATGGCACCCTCTCCTCTTAATGGTTTTTCTCTCTTTAACTGTAAGCGTTTAGCCCGGCCAGCATGGCTCAGTGGTTGAGCATTGACCTATGAACCAGGAGGTCATGGTTGCTTTCCCAGGGCACATGCTGGGGTTGTGGGATTGATCCCCAGGGTGGGGTGTGCATGAGGCAGCCGGGAGATGATTCTCTCCCATCACTGATGTTTCTATTTCACCCTCTCCCTTCATCTCTGAAATCAATAAAAAATATATATATTTTAAAAACTGTAATAGTTTAGAAACATTTCTTTTTTTTTTTTATATATTTTATTGATTTTTTACAGAGAGGAAGGGAGAGAGACAGATAGTTAGAAACATCGATGGGAGAGAAACATCGATCAGCTGCCTCCTGCACATCTCCCACTGGGGATGTGCCCGAAACCCAGGCACATGCCCCTGACCGGAACCGAACCCGGGACCCTTCAGTCCGCAGGCCGACGCTCTATCCACTGAGCCAAACCGGTTTTGGCTAGAAACATTTCTTTTTTGAAAAAACAAAATTAGTTTCTCTTCTGTAAAGTTATATAATACTAAATTTACCAACTTTGTGGAGAAAAAATAGACATGTGGAGAAAAAAATCTAGATAGATTTAGAAGTATATTTTCTTACAGTTTTCCTATCTTTTACTATGGACAGGGGAAAACAGCATGCAGTTGAAATAATTCTAGGTAATAAAAAACTTTGGGCTCCTCAAAATTAATATTTTTAAAAACACACCTTTAGCCCGGCCGGTGTGGCTCAGTGGTTGAGCATCGACCCATAAACCAGGAGGTCATAGTTCATTTCCCGGTGAGGGCACATGCCCGGGTTTCGGACTCCCCGTGTGGGGCGTGCAGGAGGCAGCCGACCAATGATTCTCTCTCATCACTGATGTTTCTCTCCTGCTCTCCCTCTCCCTTCCGCTCTGAAATCAGTAAAAACTATTCAAAAACACATCTCAGGAGAGAGGCTGCCCTCTGGATGCCCGCCCTTGGGGCTCAGCTAGCTGCCTCCATCTCATCGCTCAGGCCTTGGTGGGGGCAGTGGAAGCACGGCTCTGCCCAGAGCCCCACCCGAGCCCGCGGCTGCCTCCCAGACACCAGCTCACCTCTGTGCAGTAAGGGGGCACATTGAGGACAAAGAGCGTCCTCTTCTGAGGCCAGGAAGACTTGGCGCCGTCTCGAACTCTGTGCTCTCTCATGTACAGGTAATGGGAAGCCTTCTGCTCTTCAGAGAACTTGATCGGAACGGCTGGAAGGAAAACGGGGCAGGAAAGGATGGCATGAACGTCAGGGTCAGGCTGCCCCTTTCTAGTCCCATCTGTCTGTCCACCCACCCACCCACCCACCCCTCACTGAGCCCTTCCCCTAGGCAAGACCTGTGCAGGGTGCTCTTCAGTCTATGACAGTAGATGAGCCAAGAATCTGCCCACGAGGGGCCCCGAGCTAACAGAGGAGGCAATGATTACAGGTGGGGAGTGAAACGAGGAAAGTGTGAGGTAAACACCGAAACCCTCCCCGTGGCCGGAGCCCAGCTGGTGCTGACCCCTCTGTGGTCTTTTCTCACCCCTCCTCCCGCCACCAGCTGGCAGGCCACTCTGCCTTCTCTCAGTTCCTCCAACTCGCGGGCCTCACACACCTGTACCCTTTACCGGAAAGAGCAACCCTCTTCTCTCCACCTGTCCTTCAAGTTCTCACTCACTTCCTCGGAGGAGTCCTACCTGCCAGCTGAGACCCGCCTGCTCTGCGCTTTCACAAGTTCTCTTATGGTCCTACGTCTGTATTTGGAGGATTATTTGGGAAATCGCTCATATTCCCATGCATTTTAATTCTCATAAAATTAGGGGCTGTTTTCGGTTCCTCCCACCACCTTCTTCAGAGCACAGGGGACGCAGCTGCAGCCCCGCACTCAGCAGCTGCCGTGGCAGAGGGACACAGGGAACAAGCATAAAAGGAGGCTGTACCAGACAGGAAAGAAACGGGGAGGCAGCACAGGGTGATGGTGGCAAGAGGCTGCCCTCTGGATGCCTTAGGTAACCATCCCGAAGGCTTCCTGGCGGAAGGGAATGAGCCATAGTCAGGGCACAGCGGGTGGCGGAACTCTGAGAAGAGGCCACACCAAGGGCAAAATCCCTGAAGAGTAAAGAGCTTGCTGCCTCAGAGGAACAGAAAGCTGGAGCTAATGAAGGTCTGCACCCGCCAGAACACGTGGGGCCACGGGGTCAATGGTAACCAGCTGGGGTTTTACTTCAGGCGCTAACTGTAGCCACTGGAGAGATTTGGGGGTGCGTAGGAGTGTGAGGCAAACTCTGATTTACATCTGACTTTAGCCCCGGCCGGTGGGGCTCAGTTAGTTGGGCTTCCTCCCGTGCGCCGGGAGGTTGCGGTCCGACTCGCGGTCAAGGGCGCGTGCGGGGGTGGCGGGCTGCAGGCTGATCCCCGGTAGGGAGCGTGCGAGAAACAGCACATCGACGTTTCTCTCTCTCCCTTCCCCTCGCTCTAAAAATCAATAAAGATATTTTAAAAACAAAGACAAAAACAGACTCCTAGATGCAGAGAACAGACTGGTGGCTGCCCAAAGGGAGGGGTTTGGGCACGGACCCGCCCAGGTGAGAGCTGCGGGGCCGGACTCGGAGCCGCAGAGGCAGCGGAGAGTGGACGTGCTCCCGGAGGGGGGCAGGTGTGGGGCCCGCCCCAGGGAGAGTGTGGACAGAGGCGGGTTCGCCAAGGGAGGCGCTGGCCAAGGTGGGCTCCAGAGAACAGACTGGTGGCTGCCCAAAGGGAGGGGTTTGGGCACGGACCCGCCCAGGTGAGAGCTGCGGGGCCGGACTCGGAGCCGCAGAGGCAGCGGAGAGTGGACGTGCTCCCGGAGGGGGGCAGGTGTGGGGCCCGCCCCAGGGAGAGTGTGGACAGAGGCGGGTTCGCCAAGGGAGGCGCTGGCCAAGGTGGGCTCCTCGTC